GTGATCACTTTACTTCTCCAACTACTTCTCCTGTCTGGTGTTCATGTCCTTGTATTGTAGCAAAGAGAAGGAAGTAGCCCCAAAACAATCAGAGTGCTCTTTTTGGTGTCTTGGGGTTACAAAAAAAAAAAAAAGAGGTGGTGAGTAAAAAGCAGCGCAAACTGCTTAGTAGCTGACACTTGTCATTCTGTGCACAGCAGCTGGTAAGGAAAAGTCGGCCTCCGCCAACTTTGGTTGTCTGAAATACAAAGAACCCCAACTACTGTGGGTGGGTGGGAGCAGACGCCCCCTTTCCCCACTCCGCTGTATGGGGGCATAGAGGGCCTTTGCCCGTTGGTGTACATTATGCGAGGCATTTTTATTCCTAGATGCTCCCTTGGTTCTGTGCCCTGCACATTTGGCCTTGCCCTTCTTTACCTTACTTAGCGGGGGTCCCCAGCTCAACAGATGGACCCCCTCGCTGCTAACTGAAATCTGGTGGCTTCTTTCCAGGCCCAAGGAGCAGTTGCCATAGGGGAGTCTCGAATAACTCCCTCAGTTCGGAACAAAGAACTGGAGGGGCCGGGGTAGCAACCTGCAGTTCTTGCGCTCCCGGGTCTGAATAGCCTCTGGGACCATCTGCTCCTGCGTTATGCCCTGAAGCGAGTTTCCTCCTTTCTTCTGCCCCTTAACCCACATCGTTCTGTTTGTAGAGTTCTGCAAGCGGGGAGCTGAATCCGGAAAGTGACCCTGGCTGCATCGTTTATTTCGGTTGCTTACAGTATTTATACAGCTTAAGCAAGCAAGCCAAAGCACTTGCCGTGTGTGTGCGTGTGTGTTGTCAGCGTCCCTGTTCTGAGGGAATAGCACCTCCCTGTTTTGAAATGTGGTCTTCAGACTCTTCAGGCAGAGAGCAGGCCTCTTGCAGGAGCTTCCCTGGCCCCCTCTAGCACCAGCATTTTTACCTGTTGTGTCTTCAGAGTATGTTTTTGTATTGTGTTTTGCATATCGATCTAACCTCCTTGACAGAGGAGGTGACAGAGGAGCAGCGTATATAAGTGTCAGTGACATTCAGCTTCCGGTTCCTAGTCACAGCAGATGAGATTGAAGGGACTGGTGTTTTTTTTTTTTTAATCTGATGACTTCTGTAACTTGTGTTTTGTGTCGGGCGAGAGCCTGATCTGGTTTTGCACGTCTGCTTTTGCGGTGACACAGTCTGGTTTGTTTTTCTCTCTCCGTGGAAGGATTAGCTGCAGGTGCTTCTCGTATGCCCCATTCCCCTTGCCGCTCTATCTTGAATGTCATAATCCAAAACTGAGAGTCTGCCTGAGCTCTGCACTCCTCGGCGTGTTGATGGCATTGGCGCTCACAGACAGATACCTTCCCGCCAGGATTACCGCTGCCAGGCTGCACTGACGCTTTGGATTGTTCCCTGGGAAGCAACTGAACAATGCAAGGATTTCCTCTTGCTGATGCGGCCTGCCTGTGCTCTCTTGGTTTCCCTGTTTTTTAGTTGATTGCTTGGGTGGAGGAGAGGAACTGCTTCAGTGACCACTGCTGGTCCCAGAGGCTGAAGAGGAAGGGCTCTGAATTAATGGGGTTGGGCCGAGTCCCAAATACTTTGCTTCAAGCAAATGCGGTTGAGATGCAGGTAGGTGCCTCAGAGATAGGGAAAGCCCCCCTGGCTTTTATGTTGCTGGTGTTCATCTGAGCCAGCCTGACCCTGACTTGAAGCTGCTGAGCCAGTCCCACAGAGGAGGGGGGGTGTTTCCCGGACGGCTGGGAGCTCGGAGTCCCATTTGACCACTTGCGAACCCTGTAGTCTACACCTATTGAATGCACAGCACTGTTTTGTGCACTGGGTGCACGGAATCGGTTGTCTGCGGAAGCGGCATCCTTGTGGTGATAAGAAAGGTAGCCAACCTCCCGTGTGATGCATCCCATGTGCTCCTGGTTAGGTGCTACAGGTAAGTCACCTTCTGGGTCTTGTGGAGACAAAAACAATGTCCATCCTGCCCACACGTAATTCCTGGTCAGGTCTGATTATTCGGGGGGGGGGGGGGGGGAAGGTCCTTTGGATCCCAGAGCTTGTTTCTTCTTCCAAACCACCGATTTCCCTTTCCCTGTAACACGGGCCCTTTCATAGAGAGACAGAGACATTTACTGGGCACCGATGCTCCCTCTAAGCTTCTGGAGTCTTGTGGGTAAAGATCCTACTTTGTGAGCTACTGGCATTAAAGCTGTGAGCGAGTGATTTGGCTACTGCATACATTAGTTTGCTCTGGAGCCCTCCTTCCTGAGCTAAGGCAAAAATGTGTGAGCCGGAGGGTAAAAAACTGTGAGCTGGCTCACACTAACTCAGCTTAGAGGGAACACTGCTGGGCACCTGCTGGTGGTGGGGAGTCTTGCTTGGGCCTGGGTGCTTCAGGCTGTCTCTCCAGACCTTGTTCTTAGCATGATTGCCAGACACTTGGTAGCATGTGTGCCTTCTCGGAGAGCTCTCTCTGGGAACCTGACGGTGGTCCTTGAGGCCCAGGTAGTTGTTTGTGTCCTTTTGGTGGTGGTGGGGAGGTAGGGTTGGTTGTTTTCTTTAATGCGTACTGTTTGCCACTGAGTTGAGGACCAGAGTACGGCTTCCCAGGCAGCCTCGGTCTCCTGCTTTCCAGGGCGGGGCTCCCTCCAGTGCCTTCAATCCCCACAATAAGGACTGTGCTGGATGCATTTATGTAATCCTGGCTTGTGCCCCCGCCCTGTCCCAAGGGCTCAGAACAGCTAGCAGCAGTGTTTAAACACGGGTCTGTGTCCCTTCCCAGGTTCATTAAAATAGACCCCCCACAAAAGTGCCCAGGGAGTGGGTTAAAATAGAGAACACGGCAGCGCCGCTCTCCCACTCATAGAGCGCAGTTAGTTCTCCTGAAGGTGTAGGGGAGGCCGCCCAAAGGGGCAACTTCTGCTCGCGGGTGCCGCCGTATGAATGATGCTCCTGACTCTGGAGCCGGTGGTGTGGAGGGTGCTTTTGCCTGGTTTCATCTCCAGGTGCTCCGTCACCAGGCACTCCTCGTATAGTAGCATTCAGTTGTTTTTGTGTGTAGCCAAGTAACATTAGCATTTATTTGTATTACCAAGGCTGCATTTTGTCATTGTGAACCGCTTTAGTACCTCTTGTGGGGGATTATTACTGAGAAAGCAGCTTCCACATTGTTTATACTTCCTGTGTTCAGAAGTACATGATTTTCCCTCCCGGAAGGAATACCAAGTCCTGCATAAGTATCCCAGAATTCCTCTTTGCTGTGTGTTCCCAAAATTCCCTTTAATCTTCTTCCCTCCCCATGACCTGCATACACCAAACAGCAGCCATAGACAGTGATGGAGGCCGTCATTCACTTCAGGGTGGGCAATTGCTCAGGCAAGGCAAGGAGGAAGGTAAAAGGCCTGGTACTGAGTAACTCAAAAAGAATCCTATTTCTGCCCTGGAATAGCAGCCTGTATCTTCTTCTCCCTTGCTTTAAGGCCACATTCAGACACCACGACGAATCTTAATTTGTGACAGGTATGAGCAGGACTCTTTTTTTGCTGTGCTCCTTCCCTTCTCCTCTCATGTGCCGAACATGACTTAAAGCATCCTGGTTTGGGACAGGAAGAAACAAAGCTCCGGTTGTCCCAGGTGCCTGCATTGCAACATTCTGGTAAACTGGAGTTTGATCAAAGGCTTCCCAGACCAGGAAGCATTCAGTCTCATGCACAAAGGGTGGGGGGAGCACAAAAGCATGGTGGGCAAGCTGTGCTCATGAACAAACCAGGGTTCATTGTGGCTTCTAAATGTGAACTAACTCTTTGGGAATGGATGAAAAACTGAAGAGACAAAAAAGGTTTACTGAACTGAAGTAAGTGTCCGAGAACATGGTCACTGCCCATGTAAATGTATGCCAGTTGCAAGATGAAACTGATGCTTGGCATGCAAATGTGTGCACCTTTTGTAGGTTCAGCCGTGCTGCTGTGTTCTGCTGCAACAGCTGTGGCTCACGTGAGCAGAGCCTTCTGAAGGTGCCACCCTGCAAATGGGGCTGAGAGCGGCAGCTGCCCGTTCACGTGCATTTTCAGTGGCATCTCTTACCTTACGGTACGGCCTGCCCGCGATGGTCAGGAAGGCTTCCGTAATTCTCTCATTCCCCAGAACGTGCAAAGACAGTAATGTTCAAAGGGGGATTTTGAAAAAGAGAGATTAGAACTGGAGTAGAATGGAACGATGAAGTACTCCACTGCAGAGATTATCGTAGGTTAACACCTGCTTTTACAGCATTGACTTACACCCACTAATCCGCTTTCGGTATTGTTCGCGGTATACTTTGCCTTCGATAGTTTGTCACTTGCATTGTCCTCTATTTCTGTAGTCCGCATCCTGTTGCACCCCTAAACTGAATAGCCCAGGCTAGCCCGATCGTGTCAGATTTTGGAAGCTAAGCAGGGTCAGCCTGGGTCACTACTCGGATAGGAAACCCCCAAGGAAGCCCAGGGTTGCTATGCCGAGGCAGGCAGTGGCAAACCAACCTCCTCTTGCCTTGAAACCCTCTCAGAGGGTCGCCATAAGTCGGCTGTGGCTTGCCAGCACTTTCCACCACCCGTCCTAGCGGTTCATTGGTTGTCTCATGCTATGATGTTGCATTGTTTTATATGCTGTTATCTGCCCTGAGTCTCAGAAAGGCGGGCTGTAAGTAAGAGCAAAAACTGGAACAGGAGCCATAATCCTATAATTAAAGGAGCCAGTGGGAAGGGTATCTTGGTTGGGAAGCTCAGGCAGATGTGCTGTGAGCTGGAAGGTCTTGAGTTTCTGTAATGCGGACAGAGTGGGATGGGGACGTGTCCCTTTCCTTGGGAAGAACCGGTGTCTGTTGGAAAGCGGGCATGTGGAAATAAGAAGGCTGGAGTTGCTCACAACAACCCCACATCTCTGGTTTCCAGTTGGATGCAACCGCGTGTGTTGCCACCTGGGCCAGCTTGCTAACACCTGCCTCCCCCTTTAGAAGAAGAGTGGAGGTGAGGCCCAGCCCCCCGTGCCGCCACCATGCCGTCTAATGCCCGGGCTGGCAGCCTGAAGGACCCTGAGGTGGCTGAACTGTTCTTCAAGGATGACCCTGAGAAACTCTTTGTCGACCTGCGGGAGATTGGACATGGCAGCTTTGGAGCAGTCTACTTTGTGAGTGTTGGGGAAACGGGTGGAGACACTCCTCACTACTAAATTTGGTTGAAGTCTGCTGCACATCATGTCTGTACTAATTTTCTCACAATCCCGTTGGTGTCGTGGTTAAGTGTGCGGACTCTAATCTGGGAGAACCGGGTTTGATTCCCCACTCAGTCACTCGCAGCTGCTGGATGACCTTGGGCAAGTCGTAGTTCTGTCAGAGCTGTCCTTGAAAGAGCAGTTTCTGTCAGAGCTCTCTCAGCCCCACCTACCTCACAGGGTGTCTGTTGTGGGGTTTGTAAGCCGCTCTGAGACTCCAAATGAAGGGCGGGGTATAAATCCAATCTTCTTCTTCCTGCCTCATCACCACAGTCTTCCATTCTCCGTGAGAGCCAATGTGGTGAAGTGGTTAGAGTGCTGGTCTAGGATCTGGGAAGTCCAGCTTGGGGGGAAAAACACCCTCTGCCATGGAAGCTGGCTGGGGGGATTTGGGCCAGTCACACAGTCAGCCTAACCTACCGTACAGGGTTGTTGTGAGGATGAAATGACGAGAGGGAGGCTGTTATAAGCCACTTTGGGTCCTATTGGGGAGAAAGCTAAAGGTTTCCTTTGCTTGAAAGCCAGTTGAATCCAACTCTAGGGATGTGGTTCTCATCTCCATTTCCAAGCCAAAGAGCCAGCGCTGTCCAAAGACATTCCCGTGGTCATGTGGCCGGCATGACTAGACGCCGAGGCGCACGGAACGCTGTCACCTTCCCACCGAAGTGGTACCTATTTATCTACTTGCAGTTTCTTGCTCACTCTGTCATGCGGCACTCGGGTCTCGGTCGGCAGTTCAACATCTTAACCACTTGAGCCACCGCAGCTCATTGGGGAGAAAAGTGGGGTATAAATGAAGTAAACAATAAGCAGTGTATTCTAATGTGCACGTGTTCACTTCATTTATACCTTGCCTTTCTCCCCAGTGGGGATCTGAGGCCGCCGACGTTGTTCTCCTTTCCTCCATTTTATCCTCACAACAACCTTGTGAGGTAGATCAAGATGGGTAGCCGTGTTAGTCCATCTGTAGCAGCAGAAAAGAGCAAGAGTCCAGTAGCACCTTAAAAGACGTAACAAAATTTGTGGCAGGGTAGGGGCTTTCGTGAGTCACCGCCCACTTCTTCGGGGACCTACTGGGCTCTTGCTCTTTTTCACTGCCGCAGAGAGACCAACACGGCCACCCATCTTGATCTGTCTCCATGGAAGGCACCCCCATTTAGCCGTACAGAATGGAAATCTGTGAATCTTGTAAGATAGGTGAGTGGGCGTGACTGGCCCAAGACCACCCAGCGAGCTTCCACGGCAGGACTAGGATTCAAACCTGGGTCTCCCAGGTTTTAGTCGGACACGCTAATCACTGAACAAAACACCAGTTCTGGAACAGGAGAAATGGTAGGAAGGAGTACCTAGATGTCGGGTTCCCATCATTCCCACTTTCTCTGACCATTTGCCAGTGGGCAGTTCTGTTTCTTTTCCTCTGGCCACCAGAACTCCTAATTAGCCACGAATTGCAAAGTAGACTCCCCTCCCCTTGACTTGTGTTGCCTTTTCCAGGGACTGAAATGAATCACCTCCACGCTCGCACACATTCTAGCCCTCCTCCCCAACTAACTTTGAACCCTCGCTGTGACTTTTGGCTGTTTGTCCCTTGGCTGATTCTGTCTCCCATCTGCAGGCCCGAGACATACGCAACAATGAAGTGGTGGCCATCAAGAAGATGTCCTACAGTGGGAAACAGTCGAACGAGGTTTGTGCTTGACCCCCCCTCTCTTGGGAGTAGTTCTGGGCAACAGTCATGGCTGGTCTCTTGTTCCCCTGGCCTCCGGGCCGGCTGCTTCTACTCAACCTCGCCCCCCTACCCTTTCCTCACGGGATTATCCTGGCTCAGCCTCCTTTTGTTTGTCTTTCAGAAATGGCAGGACATTATCAAAGAGGTGAAGTTTCTGCAGAAGCTGCGGCACCCGAACACCATTGAATACAAGGGCTGCTATTTGCGGGAGCACACAGCATGGGTAAGGGGAAGGGGAAGCTAATCCTGTGGAGGCAAGCATTCCAGGAGGATTTCCCGGTCATAGATTAATGGAGTCCTTGAGGAAGTGGGTTATGTAGGGGAAACGGACTTTAGATTTTCAGGTGCCCGAACGGCAGTGGGCTTTTGTGCTGGGATCAATGAATAAATTAATTTGGAAGTAGGTAATGCCTAGGGGGCTGTGTGGGACTGGATGCGTGAGGATCTTCTGCCCTGCACTATTAACTCTTCCCCCGTTGCCTTCTTACCCCCATCAGCTGGTGATGGAGTATTGCCTAGGTTCAGCCTCAGACTTGCTGGAAGGTGAGTACCCAAGGGACAGGAGATGGGAAGGTCTCTTATGGCCCTTCTCTTCCTCGTCTGTGTAATGTTCTCTCCTCTCTTCCTTCATTCTCTCTCTCTTCCTTAGTGCACAAGAAGCCTCTGCAGGAGGTAGAGATTGCAGCCATAACGCACGGTGCTCTGCAGGGGCTGGCGTACCTGCATTCGCACAACATGATCCACAGGTGAGATAAGCCGCTGTGGTCCTGTCTGGCCATATTCCCCTGAGCCTGATGGGGGGAATGTGGGAGGCAAAAAGACTGGCTGTGCCCAGCACTCCCCCTAAGCTGTGGAGTCTTGTGAGCAAAAATCCTACTTTGTGAGCTGCTGGCATTAAAGTTGTGAGCGAGCAATTTGACTGCTGCATAAATTAGTTTGCTCTGGAGGCATCCTTCCTCAGCGAAGAAAAAAATGTGCGAGCCGGAGGCTAAAAAACTGTGAGCTAGCTCACACTAACTCATCTTAGAGGGAACACTGGCTGTGTCCCTATCCTGCATCAGGCCCTATAATATACTAGGAGGAAAGCACTTGGTGTTGTATGGGATCTTGTGCTAGCAGAACCGTGCTAAGTCTGGCTTACGTTTCCACTTGTACACTGCTGGACCCAACCTGATGTTTCTAACAGCTCTCTCCAAGCTGGCATTCAGTTCATGCATAAAACTACCAGCACAAACATGACAGAATGGCTTCTATGGTGCAAACCATCTCTCTCTCTCTCCCTCTCTCTCTCCCCCCCTCTCCCTCTCTCTCTCTCTCTCTCTCTCTCATCTCATACAACACCAAGTGTTTTCCTCCTAGTATATTACAGGGCGTGGAGATTGGCTGCACATGCAGAAACAAGTGGGGATACAATAAGTTTGCCTTAGTGTGTGGCTGCCGCAGATCCTTTCTTGCATTTTTGCTTGGGCACGAGTGGATCAAACTCAATGTCTACCAGCTGATGGGATGTTGCCCGGAATATGCTGTAGCTTAACCATTGTGCTCTATGTACCTGAGACTCATGTGCATCCACACCCAGTGGTGGCTTTCCGTGTAGTGCTGGATGTTTGGACTGCCATTCTAGTCTCTGACTGTCACGCATCTTGTGTGACCCAGTCCTGTCCTGTTTCTTCCTGTCCGTGATCCAGAAAGTGAGTGGTCATCCTCTGCTTTTCTTTCTTCTACCTACTCCATGCTGCAACACACAAGACCTTGTCTTCTGGACTTCACACAGTCCAGCCTAACCTGTCCATCTCCCTCTGTCTGCTTAGGCACTGGTTCTGATGCACACATCTGTTGACGTGACTCTGCTCTCCTCCACCTCTTGGGGTCTTGTTGGCTGCCTTTCTCCCAGTCGCCAGCTGCCTGTCTGTCCCCCTCACTCGCAGTTTTTAAGAGCCAGTCTGTCTTTTGCAGAGACGTGAAAGCCGGGAATATCCTGCTGACTGAGCCAGGACAGGTGAAGCTGGGGGACTTTGGCTCTGCCTCCATCATTGCTCCTGCAAACTCCTTCGTTGGCACCCCATATTGGTGAGTGAAGGGAACCGTGATTTGCATTCACCTGGGAAGACAGCCCTGGCCTGGATAGCCCAGACTAGCCTGATCCCGTCAGATCTCAGAAGCTAAGCAGGGTCGGCCTTGGCTTGTATTGGGAAGGGTGACCTCCAAGGAATACCTGGGCTGCGACACAGAGGCAGGCAATGGCAGACCACCTCTAAAACGTCTCTTGCCTTAAAAGAACAAGTCTAGCTCGCCACCTAGTGGTGCATACCGCTAAAAGAGCTAGAACCTCTGGCTGCCGGACAATGTTATGATCTCCTGGCTATTCCACACACAGTGCCAGGGAAGGTATGCCAACAAACCACGGTAACTGCATTGTTCAAGGACCAAAAATAAACCAAGCAGTGTAGGCAGGAAGATATGAAAATATGAGTATGTCCAAAACATTCAATGAAAATCCATACTGCATAGACAAGACATGCACAAAGTATGATTTCACAAATATTTGATGAAGATTACATAAGAAAATTCCAATGAATGAGCCAATGCAAACAGTTCTAGGCAGCATCGCAGGCCACCTTTCGGTCTTCTTGCCAGAGATCTGGTAGGTTAATATTTAAGTTAAACTGTGTCAGAAGAAGGAGACCTGGTGGATGGACAGACGGACATGAATCTGTGACCCTCCAGCCGCTTGAACTGCAAGGAGAAGCTAGAGTAGAGGAGGTTAAATCGTTAGGGACCAAACAAGAAGGTTTGTGGAGAAAGGAGACCTTGGGAAGGAGGACGGCTAGATGACACCCAAGGGGGGAATAGGACGGCAGGGGGCATGCTCTTAAAGGCTGCGAGTGGTGGCCTCACACCGTTTTGCTCTGGATTCTTTCCAGGATGGCTCCCGAGGTGATCCTAGCCATGGATGAGGGGCAGTATGACGGGAAGGTGGATGTCTGGTCACTTGGCATCACGTGCATTGAACTCGGTATGGGATGGGTGTCCGGGGGGCGGGGTGGTGGCGGGCTCTGGGAGCTCCCTTGCCAGGCTTGGAGCCACCTGGGAACGCCGAGTGTGGAGGAAGCAGGAGGGTGACTAGCAGAAGCACTGATGCCCGTTTTCCTCTCTTCCAGCGGAGCGGAAACCACCCCTCTTTAACATGAATGCTATGAGTGCCTTATACCACATCGCCCAGAATGACTCTCCACTGCTCCAGTCCAGCCACTGGTAAAGGAGCCCTCGGAGAGTGGCGGTTTATGAAAGTGGGGGTGGGAGGAGGCTTTCTATGAAATGGGGCTTAATGAATTTAGAGCGCAAGGGAGCAGGGGAGAAGAGGATAAGAGACCGGGTATTTCAAGGGGAGCAGCACTCCTGGGCTTCCATCTCCTGCTTCTTCCAGGTCTGAATACTTCCGGAACTTTGTGGATTCGTGCCTGCAGAAGATTCCCCAGGACCGCCCAACCTCTGACGTGCTGCTCAAGGTACTGCAGCCCCGTGATTGGGCCGTTGCGTTTCCTCCTGCTCTTCCATGCAGTGTGGAGGCTGGAATCGCAGCACAATCCTGTCCGTGGCACGAGGCATGTGAGACGAAGGGGTAGGGGATGCTTTGTGAGCCCGGTGGGTCAAAAGTTGGGGGGGGGGGAAATACCTACAAAATAACTACGTGGAGGAGAAAAGTCAAGCGTTTAGATTGCTGGCCCCTGCGTCCCCAAGTATTTGCAGTTCCTTTCATTTCTGGTTCACCTGCCCAAGGTGGCTGAACATAAGAGATGCCAATGTTGGATCAGGCCAAAGGCCCATCCAGTCCAACACTCTGTATCACACAGTGGCCAGAAATGCCAGGTGCCATCAGGAGGTCCACCAGTGGGGCCAGGACATTAGAAGCCCTCCCACTGTTGACCCCCCCCCCCCAAGCACCAAGATGACAGAGCATCACTTGCCCCAGAGCCCCTATCTATCCCTTGTGGCTAATAGCCACCGATGGACCTCTGCTCCATATGCTTATCTAATTCCCTTTTGAAGCCATCCATGCTTGTAGCCGCTGTGTCTTAGTGGACCGAGTCTTAGCGGATGGCATCGCTTTGAAGATTTTTCAGCCAACCGCACCCCCCAACTGTATGCTTCCGTTGCCCCACAGCATCGCTTCCTCTTGCGGGAACGGCCCCAGACCGTTATCATGGACCTGATCCAGCGAACCAAGGATGCCGTGAGGGAGCTGGACAACCTGCAGTACCGCAAGATGAAGAAAATCCTTTTCCAGGAAGCGCAGAATGGCCCAAACGCGGAGGCTCCGGAAGAGGAGGAGGTGAGGACTTCCATCTTGTTAACACCTAGCGATGCCTTGCCGAAAGACGGCTCCCCCCTGTACCCCATTGTAGAGGGTCGTTCCAGTCTCCCTTGTCTCTTCCCTGTAGGAGGTGGAGCAGTTCCTCCACCGGACGGGCACCATCAACAGCATGGAGAGCAGCCATTCGGTGCCCAGCATGTCTATCAGTGCCAGCAGCCAGAGCAGCAGCGTCAACAGCCTGGCAGACGCTTCCGACGATGACGACGGAGCGGAGATGGCCATGATGCAGGAAGGCGAGCACACGGTCACCTCTAACAGCTCTGTTATCCATCGTCTCCCGGTATGGGGCCGCTGCACCTTCCACTCGGCGATCCTAAGTGGTGGGTAGGGGGCGGTGCCTGAAAGCGAAGAACGCTTGGATGCTTTGGCGCACTGGGCTCTGGCATCTTTTGCACCGGCTATAGCACAGAATTAACCCACTTAAGCGTTAGAGCACTTTTTCTGGCAGCAGGTTGGTTAGAAGGATTCAGCAGCTTCCCCAGTTATGAATTATGCAGGAAGCAGTACCAGAGCTTATTTAAATCTTGTCAGAATGGACCAACGATGAGGCAGAGGTCCTCTTCTGTTAACGTGGATTGGCCAAAAGACCCACAAAGTTTGGTGTTGTGAGTTAGAGCCAGGGATCTCGGGAAAAGTGTGTGCGGTCATGGGAAGAGCAGAAGGTGGGTGATTGCCCAGCTTTCTACATCCCTAGTTGGAATCCCAGGTAGGTAGAGCATTCAGGTGGAGCTCCTGAAACCTCCTGCTAGGCGGCTGGTTTCACAGCTGATCTGCTCTTGCTCTGGGAGGTTTTTCTCTTCGCTTCCTCACTCCAAGCTGTCAACTCTAGGAGTGCAGTTTCGGGTTGTA